CAATACCAGTTGCTATCAAGACACTCAGAGGTAAGTAGATATTACTATGTATCTAGTAGTAGTAGTAGTTGCGTGTGGCAAACATGGACTTGCATATTTTGTGTAGTATTTTTATTCGTTTACTAGTCAGTAGTAGTTCAATTGTAGGAACTTCGTCGGAAGCGGATTTGGTGGCGTTCATACAGGAGATCGAAATGATGAAATTTGTTGGCAAGCACGAGAATGTCATTCAACTTTATGCTACAACCTCAATGAAGGGTTAACTAAGATTTGCTTTATTTCAACTCTATATAATTCTTCTAGGTCATCCAGTTATGGTTATGGAGTATGCAGAGGAGGGTAGTTTAAAAAATTATCTCCAAAAGTATCGTCACCATCTTGCAGATCAATCCAGATTTCCTACTATGCGACAATTGGGAAAATTTGGTCAACAAGTTGCTAAGGGAATGGTGTATCTTGCTTCTAAAGGAGTAAGTTCGCATAATTGATTAATAAAAAATGGTCTACTGATATCGAAAAAGTAACACTTAGTATCATAAATGAATAATTTGCAAGAATTAGATGTTGTAAAGAGCTAAGATCAACACCAATTAGGACTTGGTGCTGCGTTTAACAAATAAATTTTCCTTGGTGTGTGTGTGTGTGTGTGTGTATGAATGTTTATAGTTTCCTTCCATCTATCTTCCAGCTTGTTCACCGTGATTTGGCCGCTAGAAATGTCGTCATCACTGATGATTTGATCGCTAAAGTTGCTGATTTCGGACTAACGCGTAAGGCAGAGTTCTACTATCGCATGCATAGAAACGTAAGTTTATCGGTCTACGAGAACTTAATTTAATGGGCAAGGAGAATTTAGTCTTGAAAGTTTGTAGTTTGCAATTAAAAAAAAGTTTCATCTCATTTACACGAAATAAACTGACCGAGGCCTATTTGGCGATTTGGAACAACTTATCAGTGATTTAGTGTGCGCTTCTAGTAGTTGTTATCTAAATGATCCTTCTATATGACGTAGAATAGGGTCGATGATAATTAATTATGGTAGAATAAAGAATAGATTCGCCAGGTGTTGAGGCATCTAGTACGTTAATATCACAGGAATATTCATTGGAACTAAGATGGTTGGTTGTGGTAGGGGGTGTGTCTGTTTCAGAAGACGGAAATTGTCTGTGGGAATTCGATAATAGGAAATGGGGTTCAGAATACATTTCTAAAAATTCGATGAAGGTGGTTGGAATGGTTTATAGGCTAAGTGAAAATTATGATGTGTAAAGTGTTTTGGAAAATAATTTTGGCCCTGCAGTGGTTATCAAACTTTAGAATTTATCCGTTTTCATAAATTGAGTGTCAGTGCTAAACGTATTTGGAAACACCTGGGGTTAACTTATTGAAATTGTAATAGATGGATAAGAAGTGTTTTAGAAACGGGGTGTTGGAGTTATTTGGATCTTTGACGAAGAATAGTCTGCTTGGCGAGAATATTGATGATATTGGACAGGTTGGGATACTGGAATTTCAGTAATCAGTTCGGAGTAGAGATATCATCCTTAAATGCCGACATTTTGAGTATCTATGGGCCGCGTATGAGAAGGACAATAATGTGTTTGAACAAGCTCGAACCACTTTACATCCTATTGATATTTATCACTAGGTCTTTAGTTGACTTCGGGCTTCGCAGAGGGGAAGGAACATCAAGGTCATAAAAGTCGGAAGAGCGTTCAGAAGAGCGAATCAAAGATGTAAATAGACAGACACAAAGGTAGGGATAAAAGGTAGGAAGAGATGAGTACTATGGAAGTGGTCGTATATGCATACAGTCGGGTCATGATAGTTTGAAGTCAGAAGTTAACTGCCGGTTAATAGACTTATTTGCCGTATGAGAATACGTTGCCAAAGATGTCCCACGTGAAGGTAAGTCTATCACGCACTTAAATAGTACAAAATTTAATTTAATTTTCAATCTCATAGAGTAAATGAAATCATTCAATATACAAGTTCAGTGATTGGTAAATGCCTCCATTTTGAGAATCTATAGATCGTGTACGAGTAGGGAGTTAAAGAGTAGAGCAATAATTTTTTCAGACTTGAACAATTTCGCGTCCTTTTGACATTGAGATCGTAAATTCAATATATCAGACTTTTAAACGAAAGGCATTGGTGCCATTCGTGTTCTGGGATTCCCAAAAGCTACTAGTCTTTTGAAAGTAGAGCTCAACAAAACTCACCAACGAATACGTAAAAAACAAAAACTTATCGGCTAATGTTTTATTCAAAATTTTTGTCTTTTTAATTGGCAGGGTCGCGTTCCTTTGAAGTGGATGGCTCCGGAATCTGTGTGTCAGAAACTCTTCACCACTAAATCAGATGTGTAAGCGAATCGAATTAATTCTGTACACTTTCGTCCTCAGGGATATCAGCACTTTGCGCTTTATTCCTATTTTAACTAGGTGGTCTTTTGGTGTACTCCTGTGGGAATTATTTAGTCTTGGAGAAACGCCAGCAGCCAATATGTCAACTGGGGAATTTCTGAAGGCTCTGAGTAGTGGCGTCTCGGTGTACACTAAGCCCAAGCTTGCCGATGATAAGTTGTACCAAGATCTTATGCAACTTTGTTGGAGACGAAATCCGAATGACCGGCCTAGTTTTGAGGAGATTGTAGACATTCTCTCAATTCTCTTTCCCAGTCTCTAAACGCTTTAAGCACGCCCATGAAGAGGGCTTGCCTATCCCTATCATTTTAAGAAATTTTGACTTTAATTCTTTTATCTCCTGGCATATACTGCTGGCTGGTGTATTGTAATACACTCTTTCCTCTCAATTTTAATCAATATATGTATGTATGTATCCAGCGAATTCGTACTATCAACTTCTTGTTTTTCTCCTATCTTCGTTTTAGTCTTTTAAAGTGTGGACACTGCTCAAGTTTATCTTCCAGACCAAGCTAAATTCTTTCTGCTGCAGTTAATATTGCATCTGTGAATTGCGATATTGTTGTCGAAAAGTAGTTGTTTTAGTGAAGTGTGCACAAAGAGGGAATCCGTTGAGTTTGGATGAGCCGCTGGCTTTAATTTTAGCCTTTGTCGCTGATCTATTCGGATCGTTTTGGTAGTCACTGCCCTGGCCTTTGCTCTTATAACGCTGTCATGCTTTTACAGATTTCAATGCCTTTCAGCTATTTGCAATATCTTCTTCCATTGGTTGTCATTTGCCAAGTCCCCGTCACGCAGAGTCCCAACTAACCACGGTGTAGTCGACCGTTTGCGTGATTTATTAGTATACGTAATGAATGGTAATGACTGACAACAGATTGATTCAACCAACTCTATTCTCCAATACTCTGTCATTCGAATGTCCGCCAGTTGTTTTTAACTTGTCAAAGTTCAGAGCGCTACATTCAGTATTTTGGTTAAGAGTTAAAAAAGTACTAAGTACCCACCTGGTCAGGGATGTAATAACAATAAACCTCTGTGAATTAATTTTGGATTTTCGAATAAATACTGTTTAGTGAGAATCACCAAGCCCATTGTTGCCGAGTAATTGGAACCAAAATGAGCCCAGTGGTCATGTCAGTGAGGTAGGCTTGAGCGCAGTTCCATGCTGCGAGGGTCTGTGGCCAGTGTGGTGATATTATCTGATTAAACATAATGTGTATTAATTGATCGTGTCCACTCGTCCTCTGAGTTAATATTTCTTTGTCAGACCAATCAGCATGATCTTATTGGTCGACTATCAGAAATCCTGTGACTCATAATCAGCCCTCTCAACCCCTTAATGTTATTCGTGTGCTCTTACATTATCATTCGATTTTACAGGTTGTCTTTTTATTAGTCTACCGACTCGATCGATGAGTGTCCTATCTACCGTACGGCCCTCTCTCTAACTAGCTCGTCTTCAAAAAGTACCATTAAGGCACTTTTTTATTGCTTTTTTGCAATTTATATCCGGTGCTCACGGCGTTAGAACCCTACAGTCACTACCTCTCACCGTTGTTACCCTTAATGTTGGCCCATTTTTTAGTAGGTCTTGCCTTATCACTACAGTAATGCAAATTTCGTATCTTGAACTCATATTTAAAATCAATACAAAGATCAGGATTCAAATCTACCAATTATACGCGATCATGTGTTTTTGAAAAAAAGGCGACCATGGAGAGATAGCATAATGCAAGACTCAAACCAAGACGATGGTTGAAATGCAAATTTTCTTTCCACGGGGTCTAGATTTACGTCCAACATTCAAAATGATAAAAAAAATGAGTAGAAATTTAAAAAAAAAACAATTTTGTTTATACTTGATCGACTTATCCGTAAATAAGCATGACAATTAGCCCAATAATATCCCGAAAGGAGTCAAAGAGATTGAAAAGGAGGAGGAGGGGGGGGGGGGAAGGTGGAGAGAATACAATTCACAAATGTCCACTTAAATACGACTCAGGAGCAGTTTTAAGTACAAGGTTTCAACGTCGATTGTAGTAATTATTCGTTCTTCCACCATAAGCCGGAGCATTGCCACGTCCACGTGTTCTGGGGATCCGCATTCGCCGATCATTAGGCCGGCCATTCCCTCCACTTCCACCGCCCTGTCTATATGCAACAGCATTTGTTTCATTTGCTTGCTTGATCCAGTCTGTATCAATCTTCAAGGGATCTATGATATGCAGCCGGGGAAACACGAATTGAGCAGGTTTAATTGACTCAAGACTACTGTTAATTAGTTCAAAGACTGATGGATTAATGCGCGTAATGAGATGGGAAAAGGCTTCCCAGGAAATTAGCAAATTTTTAAACTGCGGTGCAGTCTGTTGATAGAAGAGATGAACACTCAGAGACATGTCGATAACCTCTCGCCAATTATTCGACCGACGCTCCAGTTGATTGTAGAACCTGTTTATAAAAAGATGATATCGTAATAAAATAAAAAATGGCATAGTCTATTTCGATATCTATCAGCTCAGCCCAAAGAACTCTTCCCCTAAAAAATCAATAAATTCACACGGACTTACAACTGACACGTCCAGTTGAACAAGCACTCTAGAAATGAAATGCTTAGACGGTTAGCCGGAATTCTTCCATTTCCATGCATATCTTCCGCAGGCATTTGTGGATACCGCCTCTGGAACGCCAGTATTGCTTCAGAAGTGATGATTGCAAGAAGAACTGGGCAATGCACTCGATGAAGTAGAAACCGTAGGACAAAAACCATTGCCTCCTCATCCTTTAGTTCTACAGTCAGACTGAAAACTCGCAAAATGGCCTGATCCAAAGGGTTCTGGAAGTCAACGCCCTTATTAACATCTGCAGCAACCCTAGAGCTTTGTCTTCCCCCTCCGTTCTCTTCTATAATCTGAGAGACATTCTTTTCCAGATAATGCTCATAACAGTGTCTAGGATGACAGAGAGATTGATGAAAACGAAGCCTTTTGGATTGAGTCTAAAACGAGTCAGCAAGTAACGGAAAGTGGTTATATTAGACATTTGTCAGATGGAATACACATGCACTCCCCCCCCCCACCTTACTTACCGGTTCACGATCATGAGTAGCTTACTTCGGACCACCATGTATTGCCCCGTATCTCCTAATTTTTTCAAGGCACACCTAGGTTACCTTGTTCCATTTCCCTTCCTTAATCTCGGTGAGTTTTGAGAGTCCCTAAAGTGGGAGCCAAGCTTTCTCAGTCCAATAAGAAAAGCGTTAACAGTATATAGGCTCAATGAAGGAAAGTTATTCTGAATTTTCTCTGAAGAGAAATCCGCATCCCACCCCTCCCAAGTTGGCCCAAATTAACAATCAAGTCGGGTGAATGTACATCGATAGGCATTAATCTCGCAAACTCTGACCTAGCAGATTCGGGCCCTTATCACCGATACTTAAGCAACTCAACAGATGAACTTTTTAGAAGTGGGTGTTGCTACAGCCTGAACGTCACCATATGCACCGCTACTAAGAGGTTTGAGGTGGGCTAGGTCTGCTGCCTCGCCAGGCAATGCTGAAGCACGTGGACCAATGAGGGACTAGCATGCACAAACTCAACTTTAATTCCCCTGTCAAATGAAAGGTTCGTGGTAATTCAGCGTTGCAGGCTCCACATCTGCATCTTCTGAACACCTTGTGAATCGTTGTGGATTTCCAATTAAACTAACGATAAGACTTTGCCTAATAAAGACGCATTTAGATCACACTCCTGTAAAATAGGTTTAAAAAAAATACAAAATACGCAGTCTTACTTGTAAAGGTAATTTCTCATCAATTGCGAGTAGAAACAAACGAAGAGCCCGATAAAGATAGGGTTGACGCGCCAATCCAGTCTCCTCATCCCAGTCCCGAATGCCACGAGCCATATATTCGCAAAGATCTTCTGTCATTTTGCATGGAGATAAAAAAACGAGGATAAAAAAATGTTGGATATTACTATGAAACAATTAATCAGACGGACCAGTAGTAATTGGAGGTAAATCTTGCGAGGATATAGGTGTTTCTACCATTTGTGGAAGGATATCGACGAAGGGGTGGGTAATCCAGTTTTCCTAAAGAAGTGGAAAAGAAGCTTCTAATAATAAGCAAATTCCACTCAAAATACAGAAACAAGGTTCTTAATTATGAAATATCTGACGATATTCCATAAAAAAACAAGTTCGATATATGAAAACATTAAATTATTTTCCATATACCTTAAGTACCGCTGAGAATGGGTAATCTGGAGATAAGGTATAGTGATTATGCCCAAGGAAATCAGGATTCTTTCCTCACAAGTCAAGAGACTGTACGGTGGATGTACCTCAACAAGAATTTCGATATGATTTTCATTGAATTTAATGCCAGCGTGACCGTGGTATGACATCCGCCTATGTTGTTTACAAGACATGAAAGCAAACGAAAATTGGGCACTGGAAATCATCATTTATCGTTGCGACCGAGGATTGGTTGCATCGTAGTTGGTAAATGAGCATTATTTTCTATCCAATCAACATTTAACTACAGTTGGAAGTTAAGCACTTCACTGAATTTCGATTAAACTCCCTGGAGTTGGGAATTCGTTCAGAGAGTAACGAAAATAGCTCAAAGACCAGCATGTACTTCAAACTCTTCATATCAGATTGTTTTCTTCAATACTGACAGTAGAAACAATGAGAGAAGCATTCATCAAGAGAATTTCCTAAAAAAGTACTAGACATATTTTTTGAATTGAATAGTAAAGAGGTAAATATCACGATTGCCTTGAAGCCAATCATCTCGCACTTTCCTTGAATTATTATTATTATTATTGAATGGTACATAAATAGTAAGAGAGGCCAACAGTCGATAGGCTCGTTCTCAAGGGGGATCAAACCTCATATCATAAGCTTGGCAATGTTTAATCAAATCAATGTAAGGGTGGAAGAAATGCAAAAGAAAATTCAATATTACCTGACATTCAAATTCACGGAGAGAAAGATGGTAAACCCACATGGTGGCGAGGCTATAAAAATACTCCGGTCGATAGACTGCGAACCCAGGTGAGTCCATTATAAGGGACTCATTCACATCCAAATATCTAAGTAAGTACTCCCGAATGTCCTCATTCGAGCCGAATTGAGATATGAAGCTTAGTAGAAATTTTGGTCCTTCAGCGATACATTCAGGCATAATGGAGCGACATAGGAGTATAATAGCTCGAGTTGACTAAAAACATGAACTCATCATTAACTAAAGTCTGCATCATTAATAAAAAGACCTTCTAAGAACGCTAGCGTAACCTACTCTTACATCCTCCTCCTCACCAGGTCGTAAGACAAGCTGTACAATAAGATCCGTTATTTCCTGGATGGAAAAAGCTCCCTTCCATGAATAAATTAGAGAAATTACAGCTGACCATTTCATTTCCAGAGCCTCCCGACTCAGCAAGGACGTAATCTTACAACTGAGACGAGATTTTCGAACAGTTGAGCCGAGTTGATTGCACAATCCCAGCGCATAAAGGCTAATCTAAAGAAGCGTTACTTATATTTTGTTAGTAGGAACTTACATGGAATGCAGCCTTTTGTAGTGAGAGATCAGCAGTACTATGTGTGAACTGAAAAGTAGAACTAGCATTCGGGCCACCAGCTATTTCTCGAATCTTTTCGGAAAGATCCATCAAGTGCTCCACATAATCTTGGCCTAAATATATCCGAGGAAGTGTAGCATCGTTTTTCTAAAATATAAAAGACCAACCCACAGTCAATGAACTCTGATACGTTTTAATATCATATTTTAGACTTACCTCCACGTGGTGCACCCTGGGAAAAGTATACTCATACGGGAAAAATTGTCCATTAACCGGCAGTTGACTTCTGACTTCAAACTACAAAGACCCGACTGTATGCCACATTCGAGCACTTCCCCAGTACTCACCTTAACTTACCTTTTCTCCCTACCTTTGGGTCAGTTATTTTTACACCTGTAAATCACACTTCTTCCCCCCCCCCTCCCCTCCCGTCTTATTGTGATCTTAATGCTCCTCCCCTCTCACTAATGTGCTAATGATGACCATCATATAGCCTGTCATTTGACATAAATTTTAACTAATAGAATATGCAATTCATGAAGGAAACGCATACTTAATCCTTTTTAGTTAGGACGAAAATTTTACAGACAAGTTAGATTTCTATTTAAAAACTTTGAAACTTCCCATTCAACAAAGTTTAAACTAAACGTTTAAGCTCATTCAGGAAGAAATTATGCAATGATTATTTCATAAAGACTCCATGGCAAAAGTCGAGTTGTCCAAGTTCCTTTATTAGTCAAATCTAATCAGTGTGGTTGTCTACTCCGTTTATTGGAAGTATACCGGTACACATGGAAACCATAACTCTTGATTTCACATACGAGCACACAAACCACTACATCTTATAATTCAAAGGAAGAAGATTGACAGAGATTTGAGATCTCTTGAAGTTGACAACTTTATCTATAATGCGACAGGGCCAATTGGAAGGCCACCAAATGGAAACGTGTATATATGCGAAAGTAGAGCACCGACCTGTTGCGACTAACTGCCAAATTTCCACCCATGTGTGACCTTAAGCTTCGTGTTAGAAACACGACGCGTCCTCAAGCGTTTTATCCTTAATTTGGTTGATTAAGCTACTTAAATGGCTTTTAAGTGAGCATTGCGGCCTCAGTTTCCCCGAAGCCAAAATCCATCCATCTCCTCGTGTCACCTCTCTCTCTCTCTCTCAGTTTCTGTTTCTATTCAAATAAAACCGCTAGTATTTTCTAAATTTTGGCATGGAATGAAGAATAAAATAAGAGTTGGAAGGGAGGTAACTGATCTGCACAGACTTACCTCATCAGAGCCATCGGGAATTGTGAATTGGCAATCGTCTTCAGAGGTAGAATAGCCAGGAGGAGGAGGATGGTGACAACTTGAATTCAATGCTTCTTCAGGAACCCTAATTGTGCGCCTACTTGTTGTCGGAGAGTTGTCAGAACTTGTCGTTTCAGGAGCACTACTGTCAATTGCTGCCATGCCAACTGAGTGCCGAGTAAGCCGACGTAGATTAGCGCAACGGATACGTGAATCGGAAACAGTGTCTGTATCTTCACTTGTTGAGCCTGTTGCATTAATAGTACCCTGTGTTCTTGGCGTATGAACACGTCTAGATTGCATGCTAGATCCTTCAAGACTTTCTTTCAGTAAAGATGACGAAGGGGACTTCCGAGATCCTTGGCCCGATAATGACTGTGGTTGTTGACAATTTGCTGGTTGACTTTCCTCCATACTCAACACCTCATCAAACCAGTTTTCGTGAAAGACTTTCAAGGGTGGACACTTAAAGTTTGGATTGAGAGTACGATCAAGTAGACTCTCTACCAGGTCGCACATAGGACCTGGCTTGTTCTTATAGTAGTCGAGCATTTTGAGGAAGAAAGACCGACGTTGGTAGCGTTGACAACGAGTGAAATTAACATCAGGAATGTAGGGATTTCGACTTAGAGTGCGTTTAGCAAGAGCAAAGGCTAGTTCATAGTCAGCTCTGTTAACAAATAAAACGTCGTTTTAAAATGACGAAAGGAAGTGAATATTGCTGCATAATAAATTAGTGACACCTTCCCAAGTGCGGCATCAAGTTTACTGAAAAATACGACAGTAATGCATTACTCGTACATGTAGTTACAAATAGTCGATGTATAACCCATCGTTAGCGCAAACCACCAAGCATATCGAGGCTGGAGGGCTGGAAGTAGGTTAAGAAGGTAGTCTACCCTGTGGGAAATTAACGGAGAAACGAGCAAGCTGGAATATATTCATCTTCAGGCAACTATGGACATTGTGTCATGATGATAGACTATGCGTACTTTGTGCCTTCTTTTGATTTTTGGTAAGCCTTATCAACTTCAACACACCCTCTCATAAACACCTGTCATATACATGAGATATTTATTTATTCATAGCATGTTTACTAAAGTAAAACACTATGAATCACTGAATAGTAAAGAACTCAAAACAAGTCAAAGTCTTTCAGCCTATTTAAATTTGTCCGAGTTTCACTCTCTCCCTTCTAATTCAAATAGTCCATTTCATCAAATTTCCCTTATTCCACACAACGCAACTCTGAGTAACCACTGTATCGGCAACCATCTACCCTGTTTTAGGTGATAATTTAGACATGACTAACTAATCAGGCCTTAAAGTGACCAAAAATTACCCTCACCCGTTCGCTTAAGGCCACATTATTGAACTTCCTACTACTGTTCTTTCAAGCAACAATTGACAAAATAAATTAGCAAGATACAAGAGAGGGGGGG